GACAGTGACTCATTATGAAAATCTACATGATAAAACAAAATGTTTTGTATACTACTACGAGAAGTACATTCAACGATGTCCTCCAGCAGCTATAGAGAAAAATCTTGCGTTTTATCTCACTCCACTCAAAATACCAAAGGAAGACCAATGGTATTTGATTGTACCTGTTGGACACAATACCCTCAGAAACAATATCTTGTATGTGTACTGCAGCCGGCATTAGTGGATTCAAAACGAACCATTCATTCGTTGAGGGTAACAGCAGCTGCCAGGTTATTTCAAGTAGGAGTAGATGAACAATTAAAATGAGGAGAACTAGGCATCGCAGCATTGACGGAGTAAGAACATACAAAAGGTGTTCACAGCAACAAAAAGAAAATATTTCTTCAATTTTAAACTGTCAAAATGATCAACCACCTGAAAAAAAAATGAAAATGAATAATAACATGTGTAAATCACTCCCCTACGCATTTAATATCTCCAATTGCAGTGGTAATATCAAAATTGATATAATAAATCACTAACTGACAATAAATCATAATCAATACTGTATAGATCTATTATATATACTACTTTACTAACCAAAAATTCTTGCCAGTTGCGACTAACAAGATAAGGGCGGACTGAATTTGGCACCTCCTTCATCATCATTATACAATTATGTGGCAAGTGTCATGCGCATGCGCAGTAGATCTAGATTGATAGATTGCCATTGCTACTGCATTAAAAAATCCTGTTTGGCGACTTTAATAAGTTGGCTATATTTACCTCGGCGAGGTAAATAAGCAATTATATTTACGTCCTATAACGCAATCTGATTGGTCAACTGCAAGTAGGCATGGTGAAAAACTAGTAAATTCAAGCAGAATAATGATATTCATAGCCCAAGATTCTAATTATTGAAATCTTAGTTTTCAAGGGTACCTTGTAGCATTGGTTTTTATTGTATTTAGTAGTTTTTAGTCCCCCCTAACTAAACAAATTTATACCCATCAACCTGACTCCTGCCAGTCATGCATTTAATGAAAAAACTCAAGTTTTGGGATATAATTAAAAATACATGTAATCATAATCAAACCTATAAAATTACACACAGTGTGTGTGGCTGCTAGCACTAAAAACCTGAGTAAAAAGCAGGAGAAAATGACCCCAAATATAACCTAAAACACAACAATACTAACTGCTACTATTATTGCTTATTGCTATTGTTGTTGCAGAACGAGACCAACCAGTCCAATGAACTCATTTCCATATCTGAATCTTGTTTGTAGTCTTCTTGATAGCAAT